CTCCTTAGGAGGACATTGTTCCAAAAGCAATTCGCTGGACTCCCAGTATTAATTTAGTCCCAAGAGAGAGGCCCATCCATCCTGGGCGGGACGGGCCGCGCTCAGGGCCTTCCCCCCGGCCTGCTAATAGCACGGCACCTCCTGGCCTGTCACTATAAGTGATAGTCTCTGCAAGTTTGTTGCCCTGTTGTGTGCTCTCCCATCAGGCAGGGTGCATCTTTCTTTCTGCTTCCCTCCTTCTCTCTCTCTCCTCCTTCTCATCTCAGCAGTGGTTTAGGGCAGGTGTCTCCTCTGTCACTCCCATCACTCACACTGCTTGACGAAGGGGAAGACACGGCTCAGAACACGGCGGGAACAGCGGGGTGATTCATTGAAAGTTTCACCTCTCTCTTTGAAAGAGAGCGAGCACTGGGAAGGGATGGGTTCCTTTGTGGAAGTTTGTGGGACCTGCCTGCCTGTCATGAAAGGTGGAAATGTTTTCAGTACTGTTGACTGTTGCAGAATGACTCAGTGTAAATAAGGAATAAATTTGGAATAGAAAGTTGGTTATGATGTGTGGTAAATCACTCTTGAAAACTGACAGGGGATCCCATCTGGTTAATGGAGAGCACAATTTTCTCTTCCTTCTCAACATTTATTTTTTTCCCCGCTTGAGATCGAATGTTGTTATTTTCTTTCTTTCCATTTTGTCTCATAGAATGTAAGTTGGATTGGGTCTCAGTCGTCTTTCTTTAAGTTTGATTAAACTACTCTTTTTCAGTTTTGTAGCTTAAGCAGAATTTAATGCAGTCGTGAAAAGTGACCTATAGTGATTTTTGTTCGGGATTTCTGAAGATATTTCCATATTTTTTAGGTGCCGTTGGCATCTTCTCTCATTTTGAGTTCAGGCATTATACTTGATCTTTTTCAGTGAGATGCTTATTCTTTTTAAACAAGCAACTTAACATTGACCTATGAAGCATTCAAGCATAACATGGGCCTCTCCTGAGGGATAAAACAGACTGAATGCAGAACAGAAAAATTTAGTGAAGAACAAATATTAGATTGTATCTTCAGGCTCTTTGCTTCCTATTGGAAAGGCATAGACCATTCCCTTTCTTTTTTTTATGAATATTCGGGATGTCAAAAATAATATAATATAACAAGCTACATGGGGATATGCTGACATGGTGTGCAGTGTGTCCATTTAATATTTGACAAAACTGAGCAAGTGGATGACAAAAACAAAAGGCTCAGATGAACCTTTATCTGAAACTGATCTTGCGTTCAAGCAAAAAATCCCTCAAACAGATGAAACAGAACCTGAGGGATGCTACTGGACCTTCAGTTGATCCATCAGAGCTAAGTCCCTGAAGACATGGTCTCCAGGGAAGGCTAGTTGCTAAAAAGCAATGAAAATGAATGAATGGATAAATCCTCCCCAGAGCCTGGACATCAACATTACTGAAGCAGTGTGAGATCATCTTTACAGGGAACGAACCAAAGCTAAACCAAAATCCAAAGATGAGCTTTGGAAGAAACACTGAGAAATATTCCTGATGATTTCTTTGAGAAAGTATATGAATACTTGTATAAGAGGGTTCAGAACACTCACTAAACGACAAATATAAATCCAAAATAGAATGATACAAACTCTCTTTTTGCCTTACATATTGCAATTTTTATCTACGTTTGTACATTTAAAAAAATAGATCTCTGCACCTATTTTCTATATTTCCCATGAATATATAAAAAAAAAGTGGTGGCTATAAGACTATTGCACGGCACTGTATGTGCACTTTGCAGTTTAGTAGTAGGTGTGGAAAAATTGTCCTATATACTTTTCAAACAGCCTCTGATTAAGAAATATAGTGTTTTCTCTGCCAATCAATACAAAGACAATGTTGTTAAATCTACAAGAGTATTCAACTATAATTTGAAGCACTTGCTTTCCAATAACAGACTGGTGTTGATAGTCTATTACTTACCAGTGATGTTAAAAGCAGCCTGATTTCAATGATGTATGACATTTGTGCTGAGCTAAGAGAACTGGCGTTTCCGCTCTCAGCATTTAAATGCTGAGCACGTCATTGGAAATATGTGACAAATACGACATGTAAAATCAGTTGTATGAGTTCACACACCTTTAGTCTTATGCCATCGAATCAAATAATTCAAAATTATTTATGAGATCCTTTAATCTTTCCATGGAAGTAGTTTCTGTTGTGGAAACGTAACATTGCCAATACGAGCTAGGAGAAGGCTGAAGATGAGTGCGGGTGGATGTGTTAAAAAACATAATCAACTTAGTTGTCAAATGCTTCACGGATATGATAAATCTGCATCTGCTTTTGACACTCTCATGTCAGCACTCTGCCTCTTTCCTGTCCATCACCATCCTCTCACAGATGTTCGCCGCAGCCTTGGATGTGCTTTTATTACAAAATACATCTGCAATATGCTGTGGTTAAAGCTTGAGAAGATACGTATGAAAAAGCATTGTGGAGACGCATTTTATCAGCCAAGATGTTTCAGTTTGTTTGACCTCATAGTACATGTGACCTCCTTACAGAACCAGTGTTTATTGATTCGATCTCATCAATGCTGCTGCATAATTAATTGGCATTTCAGTGTAGATGAGTTTACAGTGGCTTTCACGGATGTTTCAGTGTAAAATAGAAGATTGACAGATGTCAACTGAAAACTGAGCAGGAAAGTGCTCGATAGATTGCTTTTAAGGCCATGTCTAGAAATGTACATAATCCTTCAAATAGCAAAACCAATGCCGGGGATCTAATATAAAAGACGCAGTAGTGCCATCATGTGGTTATAAACAATATGGCTCGAGATACAAAAAGGAAAACACAGGAGTTCACTGGTTCCTTCAAGAGCAAATGAGGACAGATCACCTCATGTCACAGAGCTCCTCTCATGATGTCACCGGCTCCATCCCTCTGAATGATACATGGATGGCTGTTTGCAGAGTGAGCGGCTCATGATGAAGGGGGCCAAAGCTTGTCAACCCAATGGGAAATCTGGGAAGAGATTTCCATGTTAGAATAATTTCCCACTTGTCATTTGTGCCTTGCTTGATAACTAACTGAGCACAAGCAGATAATTTGTATCACTATGAGACTTGTTTAAAACGTGCTGCAGCACAGTGTCAAAACGTGTTCCACGGGGAAAAAGGGGGGGAATGAATCTGGCATGCAGGTGTATCACTAAAGTTTTGTGCTCGTCTTTTTTGACGCAATCTCACGCCTCTCAAATTTAGCTCATCAGAGACAAGGGGGCCAGCCCCTCAAATTGGTTTTGTTTGGTTAATACGTGTAAGATTTTGCTGAGGCGCTGAGCCCGTTGTTCCCACAGTGGGAGTGCTCGCTAGCAGCTGTGAGCGTAAGCCTTTGCTCAGTACACACACGTGCACGTGCCTGTTTGTGCGATAGAGAGCTGTCGTCAGAGAAGCAGCAGGAACCTGTCATGCGTCATGTTAATGCTGGCTTTGAGGCAAACATGAAGATTAACTGAGGAACTTATAATAATAATAATAATACTTGAAAAATGGAGCAAAGTCTCTCTTTTTTTTTTTTACAGTTACGCTAACCAAGGCGAGGTTGTTTATCACTTTGGGAAGATGTTTGGTTGCCTCTCTTGTATGTCTGCTCTGGGCCCTTAAGCTGATTTAGCTGCACAAGCACGTTCTCTTCAAAGCATGTCAAGATTTTCCACGCACACTAATGAGGTAAATGGATGACTTTTGTTTTCTCCACAGTTTTAACTTGCCCCAAAGTGCTCTCATGACTTATACAAGAGCTGTTGCGGAAGTCAGCCTTGAGCAGTTAATCAAATGCTCTAACTCTACAGAGTGATCAATTTGTGCTGCAATATTCATCTGCCACACAAGCATAAATATGTTGCTGTATTCACACAAACCCACGTGCACGTGGTACTGCAGAAACAATAGAACAAAGGCTGCAGTTTGTTTTATATGCAGGGCTAAATTCAAGGATTGAAAAAGCACTACTTAAGATTGTAAGATTTCTTCCTATTATTTTTTGCATCTTTAAACCCCCCTTGTGATATACATACCAATGGCTGTTCCTTCAGGCACCATGAGGTACCAGCCCTGATCCACTCAAAAAAATGGAAATGAAAAAAATATTTTCATTAAGAGCAAACTCTTAATGATTATGCGGTGGAAGCATAAACGTGTCAATCCCAAAGCACTTCAATCTTGGAATCAAACATATTACAGGAAGTAAATTAAAGTGGCTGACACTGATAAAATGACAAATCAGCATTTTTTCGTTTCAGTATCTGGCCCAGTTTCTTGCCTGTTTCAAACCTAGACCCTATCCCAGATTTCATTGGGCCAAAAGGGGAGCCACCCAGAAGGGTGGGGGGTGCACCCCCAGGGTGTGTCCTGCCTTCCACCAGGGAAAGCTGCGTTAGGTTCCAGCCTCCTTGTGACCAAGTTTAAATAAGCTGCTATAGAAAATGGAATAGGTCTATCTTTCTCTAACACTATACATTGCCATCCATTCTTGAACTTCTTCAAATTTTGTGACAGCATCGGTAAACATTTTATTAAATCTCAACAATCATCTCAAAAGCCTCAAAAGTTCTTATTTCTTCTTATCATTTCATCCGCGTGGCTCATTATCCACAAGCATCACCTCCAACTTCATACGTCTTGTCACTTTTGATAACTAACAAGCTCGGTAATATTCCAGTCTTGTTTTCCTCAGTTACATGAGTTCTTATATCCCATATTTATTATGGAAACACTCGAAACAGTAGAATCTTTTCAAAGAGAATTACAACAAACTTCAGATGAATTACACTGGTGACCTAGAATTTCATGTGATATCTGTTATTTATTATATTAACTCAAATATCCTTTATTTAGAAAGGCCTAAAGTTTAGGCCTTTTTAATTTCTTCAGTCCGCCAAAGTTCAGTTGGACAAACCAAGGACATAGGACACAGAAACAAAAAAGAAAGAAAACACAGTTAAAATGCTAAAAGACAATTTATTAGTAGATACTCATCAGCCAGAAATAACCACCTGAAAAAATGTCTTCCTGAAATACACCATTTGATTGGCAGTGTAAAATAAGGCAAAGGGCTTAAGATAATCTTTTCTACAGGTTTGCACCAACAGTAAGTTATACATTCACTTGTTACTGTGATTATGCTTTTGATAAATTTGTTCCACACACACCCACATAGCAAGAAAACTTTATTAGCCAAAGGGCAAGGAGAGAATACGACTCAGCATAATGCAAAAGCAGTTTTGGCAACAGCTTGTCTAAACCTACAGAGCCTGACCACGTTCTGACCCAAAATGAGATTTTACAAATTGCAAAAGCCAACTGACCAAAAGTTCATACAGTTATGAACATTTACCATCACCGTGTAAGGATAATACCAGCAAAATGGTTGAAAGTTGTCAGAAATTGATTATAGAGTTTACTCTGTAAATTTACTATAGATTGGCAAAAAAAACACTAGAGATAATTTTGTCAACGTAAATCACATTCCACTGAGCTTCAAAGCATAGCTGAATACTGACTGATACTTCACAGGAGATGCCCCCCCCGCCCCCCATCACAAGAGAAACTAATTCCACTCTACTCTCATGGAAAGAAACAGCCTGTTGCCTTTCACTTAGCTATCATTTTTCGTATTTTTCCTGGATCGACGTTCTAAGCAGCTAAGTTGTTGTATTTTCCACTATGATAGGAGCACCGCAAAACAATTACAGACCGTGGCAATTTAAACCTAATTTTCTTTTCAAAAGATATCAGCGTCTACCAAACTACTCAGCAGATGAAAAGCCCACCATTGCTGGTCTGCGCTTGGGGTTCTTTTTATCTGATATTAAAGCCTGTAATGTATAAGAGATGTGTTTCCCATTTTGCATTTGATCCCTAATTCAGCACTTTCGGCCTGCTTGTAGTTGTGCAATTCTTCATGTGCACATTTGATATGTGATCAAACCTGTCAAATTGGAGGAAAAGGTTGACAGCTTGAAAAATGGGTGGTGTGAAGAAGAAGTCTAGTAATCTTACACAGAAAACAGTACAGCTGCAGTGTGTTTTAGCTGTCTGTGTATATCTCACATATTTAGGAAAGATGTAAAAGGAGAGATTGCAATACATCTAAAAAGCTTTTTCAATACCACAGGTGCACACTCACAAGTGTGCATACATACACGCAAGGACATGTTATGTTCAAAAGTTCATTAGCAAGGGTGGACAAAGAGATGGAATGAAGCTCATCTGTGCAAAATCTATTATCCTATTTAGAATCCAAACACATCAGGGAGGAGTCATAAAAGAGCATTTTCCAAAATTATACATATCCATTTTCAGTTTATAAGAACTTGTTACAACCAAATCTTCAAGTTCTGTCATTTCCCCTTTGATTAGTTTGATAAGAGTTAGACATGTGCTTCTATTTTGTTTTGGAAAGAGACTCTTCAGTGACACGACACTCTACACTGGAATTACTGAAAGAGGGATAAATGACATCAAAAAGGAGAAAAAACATACCTTCACCAAGAAGCACTAAATATATATGCATTTATATATATATCCATATGTATATGTGTATATTTTAGAAATACATAGAAAAATAGATAGTCATCTGAATGCCCATTATGCAATTCTACACAGTAGAGTCAGAAAAGAAGCCTGTACAGCGGTGCAGAATAAATGTGACACACAGAGAGGCTATAGACAGGGTGACATCTGTTAGTGAAGTGGAAGCTGTTCAGGAGCTGTTTTATGTTGTGGATGATGAAGTTTGCACATACTCCTTTTCAACCCAAGATTTCAAATCCAAATCATACATTTTTCCAAAAGAAAAACATTTGTTGAAACATAATTGGAATCATTACTTTGTGTGTGAGTGTGTTTTAATTAGGTGATCGAATATTTCTCTTTGTTTTGAGAGAGACTGACCTGGGAAGTCTGCAGCATCGACCGTAGGAGGCGACACTTTGCACCCTGCAGGCATGCGGATGTCCTGCAGTCAACAGCTCAAGAAACACCTCCAGTGACGGAGGACCCAGCGCACAATTGTGTTAGACTACAGCACAAACCAATAACGGACAATGTTAGAAGTATAAAATTGCTACAATAAGTGCACACTGTTGCTGAGAGGGCATCATTTGACACGTTTAAAGTGTTATACTATATAGAGATATTTCTTTTCTTATGTTTCACATAGAGTAAAGCCTTTCAGTATTAGTGTACGCTGAGGTATACTGATGCTGAGTAAACTTAATAGTAGATTAGATTTTTTCCAATTTTAAAAAGAGCTGATTTGGATGAAATGAGGTCAGTGAAGACTAAAGTGACAGTTTCCATAAATGCTTACCGGACAGGTGGGGATATTCAGCAGTGTGATCGAATGCCTCGCTTAGCCAACCCTAATACACACTTGAAGTTCTACTTGACTTACAGGAAGCATGGTTTGAAGCCTGTGGAACAATGTTAAACTTGTTTTTTTCAAAATGGACTATTTCATTTTTAAAAATTTCCATCATCTGCTTTTTGAAAATGTGTTCTTTTAAAATCAGGAAAAATTAAACAAACCTCATCGAACAGAACATGAAGTATCTTATCTCACAGTTACCTTTACAATGAATGTCATTTGGTCATGAGAAATTTTGAGGAAGTTTGGTCTCTGACATCTCCGTATCGACCCAAAGGCCCATATGAAATGTAAGTGAGCAGCTTCATGTTAACATTATTAGCATGATCATGGGGCAGAATCAAGATCGTGAGGGGAGTCAATTAATACAAATCTTTAAAAGGCTTGGAGTAGTTAAACATCAGATAGTCCATGTAGTAGAAGTCATATACTCGCTGTCTCTCCATCATGCTGACCTGCGAAAAGTATTTTTCTGTTATTTCATTTGAGGTTCTCTTGTCGTTTGGGTTCCTGTCTTTAAAACTGGGTAGTGTGAGGCTGGATGGGGCCCCTATCAGCCGTAGAACAAAGTTAGAATCCTCCTCCATGTTTTCAAACTTGCCGATAAAGTCGTAGTTTATGAGACAAGGATGACAGAGCTGGTTTACCTGCTCCCAGTGGATGTCCATCCCCACAGGCCGGTGGACATCCAGCAGGTATTGAACAAATTCCTTGAATGTGACCCCGCTGCCCGTCTTCAGGGCTTTCTCAGATGGATTCACCCTGTATTTGGATATGATGGGTTTCCCAAACAGGGAGTGGTAGTAGTCGTTTGGATTCTCAAACTTGTCCCTGTATGCTGACACAACTCTCTCCAACGGTTCGCGAACAAAGAGGATTTTTTTGTACGTTTCCAGACGGTGCATAATCTGTTTTTGGTCGAAGCTATCGAGCGTCTTAAGGTACCCCCCGTAGTGGACTGTGTCATGTTTAATGCTCTGAGCGTTGGAGGCCCGGCCCGCCAGCACCATCAGGGTCCTCTTCCAGTTTGAGCATCCCGTCTTCGGAACCTGGCAGTACAACAACTTGTATTTATCCTCCACAAAGAGGTGTTTCACATGATTACGCGTAATGGTCTTAGAGATGCTGCTTTTGTACTTGGCGCAGATCTCTTTCATCAGCTGTTGGCGTGCCTCTAGAATTCTGGAACGCTTTCTCCAATTTTCTTGGAAAGCAGGGTCAGAAACACTGGAAGAGAGAACGGCAGACAGGGAGGAAACTAGGGACGACGAAGAACTCGAAGACAAGGAAGAAGCAGATGGTGAGGACGAGGAGCACAAGGAAGTATTATTTTTGTTGTAATGGATTAAGGGACTTGTTTTGAGCAGTTTGCGCTGTCTTTTGGTGACATGGAGAGAGCCCATCCCCTGCTCCCGAGACAGAGACGTAGCCTTCTTTCTGTTGTTCTCAAAGTGTGGGAACTGCATTGGAGGGATAAGGCTGGACAGGATGCTTTCTGTAGCTTGGACTTCCTGATAACTGTCAGATTTGGGCCTCTCTTGGTGATGAGTGGAGAGAGTCTGTAAGACAATGACAACACAGACCAATATTGTAGACTTGTTCAAACCAGAGATGAAAGAACATTTCTAACTGAAATTAAATGGATACATGCTACTAATTGATGGGTTAGGATGGCTCTTCTGATTAAACAAAAGTTGCATTCTCCAACTGGGCACTTGATGGTGCTGTTTTACCATTACTTAAACAATGGTCTAACTTAGTTACAATCAAATGTCATACTCCCCAATGCCATCCATGACCTATTTATAGATTGAGCTGTAATACCCTATCAATGTCTAATAAACTCCTAATGGGAAGTCTAAATTGGACTCATCCACTGCCTGATTACCATAAGATGATGCCCATGGCTTGTATATTCTGACATTCTATTTCAATTAAATATTGTAATGGCATCATAAAGCCAATGCACTGGATGTATGATTTTAATTTTACAAGGGAAAAGGTGATGGGACCATCATGAATCCTGGGTCTTCCCCTTCTTGACTTAAAAAGCCACATTCACTCGTCTGCAGAGACATCTAGAGGGAACAAAAGGGAGTGCATCCTGTTTTATCTGAAAGTATGTATAAATTGAGGGAAAAATTATTTCCATGCAATAATTTAATCCAGTAGTGAGCTTGAGGAAGTATTGCAAAGTGTATTATATAAGTATAGTATCACTTAACATGTTTCTTGTAAATTGAAATGCTTTTTCTTCCGAGATGCTAACATTGTTCTACTGACTATTATTTTTTAGAACTGTTAATATTTCCTGTTCATGTGCAAAACTCATTCCATTGTCAGTTTGATGGCTTGAAATAACCATTGAGATAATGCAGTTAGGAGCAGAATACAAACATACATCTAAAAAGCCTGTGACAAAGTCTAAATGTATGAAAGAATCAGCGAAAATCTGCATACCATATCTGATATATAGAGTGAGAACACCTCAACACTGCAGCTAATAACACTAATGGTGACGGAGCACTGTCTCTCTCACTTCCAGTGCAGATGATCTTTGAGTTTCATCGTCAGGATTTGTGGCTGCTGCTGCCAGTAGACCTGGATTCTCAAATTTATCCAGGCAGCTTCCAAAATAATGTCAGTGTGGTTGTCTGTTAGAAATTGGTTGATGCAACAGTGGACCAAAACATCAAAGTAAAGCTATTCTGAATGACTTCAAGCACAGAGAAAAGAGAAGAGAATGCACCTTTCCACAATGTGACCCATACGAGGCAGGCATGTGAGAAAGAGCAACTCAGTACGGTGGAAGTGTGAACTTTGACAATCTTTTCATGCTGTGTTTCAATTTTCCTATCAGCACAATGAACGCTGTGGGTTTTTGAGGAAGAACTAACAGGTTAAAATGGTGTGTTTTTGTCTAAAATTGGACATTTTCGTAGAAAAAACACACTTTGCTTGTATGTATGCGTGTATTTGTGTGTCAGAGGAACTTGAAAAAGCCTAACTTAGAAAAACAAACATAACCCTGGCATATTGTCTTGGGTGTGGATTCAAACATGTGACATTGAGGGAGCCTGTCAGATGAGTTGGAAAACATACATTACTCTACGAGGTTATGGATCTTTCTCATCTTCATATAGAAGTAAAAATTTATACTATTTGACTGTTGCTCCTTGCTTTCCCCTTAATGTCGAATCACACCATCTGTTGCATAATTTACTTAAATTAAGAAAAGATTCTACTAGTATATTCTTCTTTTAAATCTTGATATCTAACTTATTTCATGATTTTCTTTCATTACTTAAATGTCAGAAAATTGGAATTTGTGCTGTACATTTCCCTTGAATGCATCATCAGCGCAGTTCTGGCAATACTCATTTCAAAATACACCCACTGATTAAATATTGTCCAAATAAGCAACCCTTCTTAATCTCAGCTGTTAAAACCATAAAAGGCATAGAAATGGAAGAACAGGGAAGTAATGGTGAAGGGGTGTTAACTGTTAACTGCAACTGTTTTTAGACCAGTTTAAGTTCTGTGTTCGTTTTGAAAACTCAGGCTACTGGCTAACCTTGTATGATCCCTTATACTCAAACAATGCACTCCATTTGATTGAAAGATTTTAAAAGAGGCCACTTGTCAGGAGGTTAGGGTCAGATTGAAGTCAAGTAATGGATTCTTACTATCAACTTAGATAGCGGTTGAAATCTGTAGTGGAAAAACGAGTTGTCGTCTCTCCGTACTATTTTGACCAAAGAATGACAATGATTTGTTGACATATCACAAAATTGTGTCACTGTCTGCATAAAGTGTATATCTCCCTGTTAAGCTCATTTGTCTGCTCTTTGATGGGTATAAGATGACATTTGTCAGGCTGTATACTTTGAAATGGTGACCGCAAACTAACCACAACAGAGGGATAAGATAATCCTTCTGTAGTTGGAGGCAAAAAAAAAAAAACTGAACAAAAAAAAACATTTTTTCCCACCTTGAAGAATCTAGCCTTGTTCAAATGGGATCTTTTACTCACTAAAGTGACTGAACGCACAGTGTGAGGTCAGCCTCTCTACACAGATGTTATCAGACTCCCTGAGAGGTACAAGGCTGACAATCACTTTTTTTCAATAGATAACAGGTGGGATCAGCCTGCATCTCTGTGTATTGGGAGAAATGGAGTAAACACGTACCTCTCTGGACTGCCGTGGAGTACTTCCAAGCTTCATGCCTGTGAGGAGATGAAAAGAAAAGAGATGAGAAATTCAGTGCTTAATAAAGCCCAAAAAAATTCCATGTATTTGTCCTTCCGAGAGAGACTTACAGCCTCAATAATTTAATGCTTCCTATTGCTTAACACATTTACTTTTGATCCCCAATAAACCAACTCTGCTTGACTAGTCCGTAGAGGGAAGACAGGTAGCTTTACCCATGTAATGAGCTGCCACAAGCAAGAAAAGTTGATAAATGAGTAGTGCTTCTAGACGTAAGCACGAGGATTAAGGCATGTGGTTGGGAAACCAGGGAAATATCAGTAAAAAACCAAACAAATTCAACAACAGTGCAAGAACCATCAAACCATTTTGAAAAAGTCTGAAACAGATATCATTTTTGAAAGATAAAGGGAGTGAAACATGGGTAGAAAGATGCAATTTGCTGAATTACTTGAGCACTGCAGGAGATGGATGATGACACATAGATTGGTTTTGTCGGAGCCTTGGGGACAGGTGGGATTGTGTATTGGCAGATGTGCTGCAGCAGGACAGATGATGTGTTTAGTGGTCTGTCTCCGGCTGGACATCTCCTTTCCTGAGGTTCCCCCATCGCACTGATATGTAATCAGGCTGACAGCTCTGACTGGGGCTGCATGGCTGCTGATGGGGGGGAGCATAGACACCTCCGCCTGAGTGGCTTGTCACTTCCAATTTGACGGTGGAAGTGATCGGAACCTGCGCGAGGAGGGTTTTTCGGCGGTGGTCGAGGTTGGGGGGCGGGTTGGGATTCTGTTGGGTGTCTGTAGACGCTGGCCACCGCCCCACCCAAATGAGGAGACGTGCATGGCCCTAACTCAAACTCAAACATGCCTCGGTGGGGGAGGAATGAAAGATGTTTCCCCTTATGCAGTGTTGTTTTAGATTAGTATGCACCGGAGAGCTTTCTGTTGCTGTGTGGCTCCGTGTGTCGAATCTTTGTCTTCATTCTTGTGAATGACTCACTCGGGCAAAAGTGGGGAGGGTAGTTCCAGGGGAGGTGGCCTGTGTGACATTTTCTGATCTTGTTTGGATGCCAGTGTATTATTTAATCGCCTAGCCCTAATGATAGTACATGTAGGATGTGCATCTTTGATTTCAATTTATCTTGCCACACATGAAACCATGAATATTCATGGCAACACACACAGATACCATTGCCAGGGAAACCCATCTTGAGCACAGCAACAACAACGGCTCTTTGGCGTGTCTGCTGTTCTAAACGGATGAAGCAATGCAAGCAGCCCTTCAAGCCCTGAACAACTTGTCAGTACACATGCCTGGTTATCGATCTTGAAAAGCCTATCAAAGAAGTAATTGAAATCTCCAAAGGTTTAATTGGTTTCTTCAAAAAGGTGTTGCGTCTGGCCCCTTGTTACTAGATTGTCATGCCTGTTGATGTCAATAGTGTTTCACTTTCTCAACAAGCTGGGGAAAAAAATTCCAAATGCCTCATTTTTATCATGCTGTCAAAAGGTTCACAGATTTCACAAGGACTTCATGCTTGACAATTTGAGCATGATTTGATTGTGAGACTGAGCATGCAGTTGTTAGGTTCTTCGTCTGTTGGACACACTGTCAGTCTGGGGGCCGAACGCAGACACCCTGTCTGTTTTCTCGAGACAAACAGCTCTTAAAGTCTCAAGATGAAATAATACATTTGGCTGGTTTAGTCGAGTAAAACTTTCCTGTCAACGCAAACAATGGCTTCACACACTTCTGAGCCCAACAGCAGAAATGTACTGATCTAAGAGCAGCAAGCAGCAGTGGTCATGCATGTCTAGACTCCATGTTGTAGATTATTTTCATCTGCCATGACAAATGGAATTAGGTCTAAACTCCAGAACTGATGTTTTAACTTTGCCATTATAACTTTGGGACCTGGTGAATCTGAATTTAGCTTTCTCATAATATCAGGTGATTTGTGGCAGGAGGTGTGTTGCCAAAAAAAAAAAAAACTAATTTCCTAAATATTTCAGGTGTTTAAAGATAACAGAACAATCAAGTAGTGATCTCAAGATAACGGCATCAAATTATATCAGTGCAGTTGAGGCTGCTGTCGACATCTGTACCGCAGATAATTATTGTTTTCATCCTCTTTTCATCCTCTCTCTCCCTCCATGATATTTTTATTTGCATTTTTTTCCTTAAACGCAATTTCATTATTTTGGACTATGTTTTACTTTCATGCTTTGTTGTTGTTCTGACAAGCATTCTGAATAGCATTTGGGTTGAAAAAGATCGTCTGATGATATAGTAGAAAGCATGCCTGTTGAGACTAATGTTTATGAAAAAAGGTGAACAGGAAAAGGATATACCAAGCACCCAAGGGTGCTGCTGTTGGATGGAGGGAGAGAGAGAGATTCACCGAGGGCCTGCCCCATAGATTCAATCAATCGGCTAATTGAGCCCACAGCAGGAAACACCATAAAAAATGTAGGTAAAAGCTGGCATGGGAGGGGGAGACTGAGTTATTGATCAAATGATGAAATGCGGCAGACGATGTGAGAAAATCTTCTAGACATCCTGCCAACTTTATCAGTGAGATTATTGTACACATGAGTCCACACGGAATCCCTGCTCAGGCGTTGTCTTTAAGTTTCTGGGATGGTGATTTTTTCAAAGGATGGCTGTGAAAATATGGATTTTTTTCTTCTTTTTTCGAGCACAGTGGTCTTCTCAAGATGTTTTAAGTGACTGAGGTGACTTGTTGTCTAGTTGGTGTGTATCAAACTTTCTTCCATGTATTTTTGTCTTATTACAGAAACAGAGAAATATGCCAACGAGAGCAGCTTTATCATTCTAAGCCTTATTAATGTGGCCCTATCAATATACACTTGTGCTTTATCTTTTTTATGTTTTACAAAACGATGAAAAATATTCCTTGTGTCAAAATATGGATATTTTTCTTTTTTTTACTGGACAAAAAATGGTGAGTGTAAGCTAAGGGCCTGGCACCAGTTTTTAAGTCTTGATGAATATGTCCATTTAAAGATGATTCAAGCTTTGACCACATTAAATTGGGGGTGATTTTGCAGCAACAAGAGTTTTCAAAACTAATACATTTGCATGCATTTTAAAAGCCAGGAATTGGTTACACAAAAATGTGTAATCTTGTTAGATATCATGTTTATTCCCTCAATTATGTGTTGTTTAGAAATCGAATCAGGCAGATCTTTGTAGGATTTGAATATCAAAGCTCAAAATCTGTTGGAAACAGAGAGTGAATTCTGACTCAGAGGATAATTCTTTCCAAAGTGGGCAGCCAAACTGACATTTTCCAAGGGGGAATATCTTACCAGAGCAGGATATAAATTACACAAGTAATATAAGTATGTAAACGGAATTTCAGGGGGATTTGTAAACATCATCTATCTTTGTAGTATCCATTTGGTTGAGGCTAATAGTTTCTGTTTGATTGCAATTTCACACTCACTCAATTCTACTCAGTATAACTACGCTATTGATTTTCACTGCTGTGCAGTGAAACAGTGATAAATTGTTAAGAGGTACGCTTCATCGTGTGACACACTGAAAATTCATTCTAGTAATTCCACAGACATAGAAACAAAGATTTAGTATGGACATGAAAACCCCAACAAATGAAATAAACAATGTGAAAGCGAGTGAGTGTGTGTATGAGCCGTAATTGCACACAGCAGTTTTGACATGCAAACTACAGAATACAGTATATACTGTAATCGGGTATTCCTTAATGGAATGGGTAAAGGTCACCAAAGACAACATGATTTGGTTTTACCTGAAGGTAATGCACATTAGATGCCAGCTGTTTTGCTAGTGAAACACTGCTCACAGCCCAGATTAAGAGAACAGAGTTAGGATTGCTGCTAACATTTGTTTGGATACAAAGGCATCTCTGTAATTTTGCTGATGACAGCAGCTAACTGAAAAGCTGAGTGAGCTTTTGAGACCTGTCCTCCAGTGCCCTCTAAAACCACCTTGAGCAGTCACTTTTCTCTCAGAGGAAAATTCTCTAAAGATTTTTGCACAACCCAGCATTATGACAAGGATCCACAGAGGCAAGGGGCACATCATTAGCAAAGCCATTATCACCCAACCCTCTCAAAACATCCTTGTTCAGCTCACTAAATGAAGCATACATCAAACATCATCCTTTTTCTCTGCCACCACTGCTAAGGAGGAGCAAAGGACAAAAACAATGGAAAATAATGAGCTTGTTAAGTGAAGGTTTGTGGCCCCCTTGCTCTGGGAGAACTTGTTAAATCCTTGTTTTTCATCGAGAGACCGTCCAGGAGGGAGCCAGACACCAGACGAGGCGTGTCCTCTGCCTGCCCACTGTTCAGATTAGGCAGTCTTGCTGTGCCACCATAAACCTTTCATTAGTCATTCAGCACACTGAGCGGCTGTGACCCCGACCAGCTGCACTGCCTCCTCTCCCAGAAAACCACCCACACCTGCACTCTGCACAACCGAGCCTCCTCCACTTGACTCTTTGTGGGAATACGAGGCGCGGCACACCAGTGCGGTTTATCAGAGGGAAAAAACACTTTGGAGTAAAGGTATTAGGCTTTGAGCTCTGGTCCATTGATGTTTTAAGTTGTTGTGGTAGGAGATAAAACGGTTTTTCAGCTTGTGCTGAATTCCTCCAGGATGGGGCAACAGAGAGCAGCTGCAGGGGGAGGACGAGGTGATGGGTGAGCAATCAGTGATTCGAGATTAAAGATGCGCTTGAAGAGACTCTCCAAAGACCAAACACAGACCATCAAACATTACTGCGTATCATCACTGGAGGACTGGCTTGTGAAAGAAGGCTTAGAAGGTCTGAGTCATTGTTTTGTGACACAAAGTACAAGTTTGGCCCGGAATGAATCAACACATTTTTCTAGTTTAACCGCTGACAATGTCTGGCAAATGAAGCAGAACCAAAACCCAAAGGAAGAAATCTGTTCCTTTTCTTCAGTCATAGTGAGCGTAACACCCTTCCAACTCATTCTGACATGACTCACAATAAATATGAGCTACTGAATGTGAAAAAATACGCAGATGGACAGAATAAAGCAATCACCGGCCAGTCAATTGCTTGACATGCATGACCACAACGCAATGCATGTCGAGGAGGTCAAGACAACTCGCTGATTTTGGTAAAAAAACAAACAAACAAAAGAACAAAAAAGGATTGTATTGCTTAACAATCACAAAAAAAGACACACAAATCAGATTGCTTGCCATTGTAGGGATATCATCTTGCCAAATCCAGTGATAGCACTCCTACACATAAGGTGGAGCAGCGTACTAAATAAATTACAAGATGTTCATAAAGTCACAAAGCCACATGCTGGCCTCACCGCCACCTCTGACTGCGATTCAAGGTCTGCTCCTGGGACAGATTATAAATAACCAGAGACACACTCTTTCATTAGTCAGATTCCAATAAAAAGAGGGCACTTCCTCCTGCCCCCCACCACATTAAATCATTATGCCTTCAACACACCATACAGAACGGATTGTTTGGCTCATATTTGTGAGCTGAAGAGCAAAGGCTAAGCATACAAAGAACACATCGGCCTGTCGTTGAGATGAAAACTGAGCCTGGCAGAAGGCTTTATGGTGTGTTGTGATCACCTTTGCAATATTTGAACACAACTTTGCTCTGAGGCAGAACAGTTGTTCAGTTCATGCATTCCCATTCTGATCATCACTCCTAAGAACGAGTTTACGAAAAATGATAAAAATGCCCACAGTACAAAATAAAACCAGATAAATAAATAAAAACCCGGTTATGATTTGCAACTACAGATAAACATGCTTTATATCGGCGCTCATGCATCGTGGTTTGAAAACCCCGACATCAAAGCTGCATCATATAAGATTTACAAAGACGTTTTCACGGACAGGATCTTCCAATCTCAGAGGAATTACTTCTTGCGATTGTGCTGACGGGAATTTTCTCTTTTTTACTCCATACTG